GTTTGCCCTTCTATATTTTTAATATTTTTCAGATTGTGGAAAGTTACAAATACCCATAAAAAGGTCGATATAATATAGACACTTGTAAATAAATCACATTTCATCATCTATCATGTTTTAGGGAAGGAAAATTCGCTAGTTCCTGTTGAATGAGATGTGCAGTTCCACTTTTATGTTATTATTCATGATACAGTGCGCACGTAGAAGTTAGAGTAAGTGAATTATTACTTTTCTAACAACATACCCAGTATATCTTGAATTGGGTTATGTATGTACACACTACGTATTACCAAAATCTACCGGCATACGAAAATAACAGTATATAACGTTCATGATTTCTTATTGAGTTATACTTTGTAGTGCTGTTTTAAATTTCAAATAGCAAAGAGAAGCTCCAATATAGCTCGTTATATCCGTGGGATATGACACGACTATCAACGTAAGAATTCAATCAAGTATACAGGGTGTAACTAAATAAGTGTCAAACATTTAAGGAGGTGATTCCTCATCGAAAAAAAGATAGAATCTTTCATATAAAGAAATTTCATTGGAGCATCCCTTGTTAAAATACAGCCCCTTAAAGGGGGTACATAAAATTTGTATAACAATTTTTTTCACAAGCACTAAAAAAGTTACAATGTTGAAATCAACCTGACGTTTTGTACTATCAAAAAGACACTTAGCCAGAAATTTATTTGGTTTCCCCATGGTTGTTAGGGGTGGAAAACGCAACCCCTAAAATTTATTTCCAATGCAACTTTTTGTCTTATTTTTTGTTTGCCATTTGAAAATTTATTTCCGATAGCCTGTTTCATTCTGAACAAAAAATGTCGCTTGGGTTTTTTGCCCAAAATAAACCAGTTCGCAGCAAAAAATTATATACATCGTCATAAATGCGAAAATACGAAACTAATCTATCTAGTAGGTCGTTATTAGCGATAGTGACAATTAAATTAGTATGACGCTGTCGATTTGTGAGAATTTTCGAAATTGAATTAATACTAATTGTGTGTTGTTGTTCTTAATTTGTTATTAAAATTCACTTGTTATTAAAATAGCATACAGAAATGAGGAAATGGCTGATATGCATTATGTTTACGGTCTGTCGCAAGGGAATGGGTTAGAAGCTTCTAGAAGATATGCTGAAATGTATCCTCAACGGCAGCATCCTTCACATAGAATATTTGATCGACTACATCAACGATTACAAGAATATGTTTCATTCGACAAAAGAACGCAGGATTGTGGTCGCCATCGAGAAGTACGAACACCACAGCTTGAGGAAGTAGTACTTAATTTGATTGAAGAAAAACCTACTGCCAGTACTAGAAAGATTGCTTTCCAGCTAAATGTTGATCATATGACGGTATTTCGAATTTTAAACAACTCTTATACCCTTACCATCTGCAACGAGTACAGACACTGTTGCCGCGAGACTTTCCGAACCGTCTTGAATTTTGCAATTGGATGCTGGAAATGATTAGAAGAAATTGTGACTTTCTGAAGAAGATAGAATTGACAGACGACTGTAGTTTTTCTCGTGACAAGATTATTAATTTCTATAATTACCACATATGGGCTGATGAAAACCCTCACGCTATTGTCGAAACTAACCATCAAGAACAGTTTTCTCTTAACGTGTGACTCGGAGTTATTGGGGATGATTTAATTGGGCCTCATTTTCTACCTCCTCGATTAAATGGTGAGGCATACGTTCAATTTTTAAGAGAAGTGCATCCAGTACTGCTGGAGGAAGTTCCTTTGGGCGTCAGAAGGGATATGTTTTTTATGCATGATGGGACCCCCGCCCATTTTAGTCAAGTAGCACGTCAGCATTGAACTGAAACATATGCAAATCAGTGGATAGGTCGAGGAGGACCACAGAACTGGCCCGCTCGATCCCCGGATATCAATCCTCTCGATTTCTCTATTTGGGGTCATTTACAGCATTTAGTTTATAGTACTTCTGTTCGCGATGTAGAGAACTCAAGAAACCGCATCATCGATGCGTGCAGGGTAATCAGAGAGATTCCAGGAATATTTGAGCGAATACATGGCTCAATGCGCCGACGTCTAGACGCATGCGTAATGTCTGAAGGTAGACATATTGAATATTTACTATGATTTCTACATGTTGTGTGTTTTGTTATTAATAAATTAGTTTTGTTTATTACCCTTCAATCGTTTAATTCAGGTAATTCAGTGTGCATTTATGACAATGTATCTCTGTAGTTGTTGGTAAAATAATTTTTTGCTGCGAACTGGTTTATTTTGGGCAAATAACCCAAGAAACATTTTTTGTTTAGAATGAAACAGGCTATCGGAAATAAATGTTCAAATGGTAAACAAATGAAAAGACAAAAAGTTACATTGGAAATAAATTTTGGGTTACGTTTTCCTTACAACCATGGGGTGAACCAAATAAATTTCTGGCTAAGTGTCTTTTTGGTAGTACAAAACGTCAGGTTAATTTCAATATTGTAACTTTTTTAGTGCTTGTGAAAAAAATTGTTATACAAATTTTATGTACCCCCTTTAAGGGGCTGTATCTTAACAAGAGATGCTCCAATGAAGTTTCTTTATATGAAAGATCCTATCTTTTTTTCGATGAGGAATTACCTCCTTGAATGTTTTACACTTATTCAGTTACACCCTGTATATAAATGTACTCAACACTTCCAAAATACATATCATGAAATCATAAAACAACAACAAAAATGTATTGGCGCTTCGGGCGACTTCATTGATTCCAGTGGCGCATTTGCTTTTTCAGCTGCAGGAAAACCCGGAGCAACCTGCAGCACCACATCATCTGAAAATGTTGATCTACCAATGTCCTCTCTCTCATAAAACAAAATGTAGGGTGTCTCCAGAGGCTCCAATAGATTCAATACATCGCCAGAACACTCAGTGACCCGACTATCGTCAAACTTAAACATTTTATTTTTTTCTCGTTTTGAAAACCATAAATTTTTTGTTTTATAGTTTTACCAATTCTTCAAAGACACGAAAGGCAATGCGCATCTTTCAGAATCAACTTGACCAAGACTGAGGTAGAAGTTGTTCAGTTCAGCATAAATATTCGTTAAACATGTTAAGAAATGTTTATCCTCGATGTGGGAATGAATTCGCACGTAATTTATTTAGAAAACGATTTTTTTAAAGGAAAATCACTACAAGAAAATCCTTAAGGCGCCCTCAGAGCGGTGCCTGTACGAATGTAGCGATTCACATTGGATTTGTATCGCTGGAGATCAAATCCATTTGGAAAAACATTTTCAGCAAGTTTATTCCACTAAACGCAGTTGTCGAGATGGAAGAGTTCTTAAACAGTGAAGTTCGAGGTGTACCGAGTCGAATGCTCAAGACGATGAGCAACCACAGTTCGTCGCATATTTCTGGAATGTAGCGCTCTTGGTGAAATCAAATGTGCCAAGTCACTTTAACACTTCCCGTGAAAGTATTTATAGAAGAGAGAAAAATCTCCAATTTTTCTTCAATGTTCCAGGCTATCAAGGTTGCCTGTGATGTTCGCGTCTCCAATCAGGCGGATGGCTCTTTTCTGGATGGAATCCAGCAACTTCAGGGTATATTTGAGGACAGAGCTCAATACATGAGAACAATACTCCAAAGAAGGACTGATCCGAGCTTTATTGAGGCATCAAAAGTTACTGAGCTGTGTACAGTTTTCTGGTTCGGAGAAGTGTTCCAATCTTTTGAGAAGCAGCCTTTGCAATTCCAGCGACATGATTGTGCCAAGACATATTGGTATCCATTTTAACCTCCAACAAACTTATCGATAACTTATCGAGTTGGTGAACTGGAAAACGAAAATGTTGGCATACATGTAAGAAATACTCCGGAAAATCTTGCAAATCTTGCCAAAATGCATATTGTAACTTCTCTGAATTTTACTTTTATTCGAAGCGTAGGTAGGTAGGTAGGTCTAAAGTGAGTGGGTCTATTCGACCCTCCACCGCAACCCATGAGGGTTTATTGTGGCTCACACCTATTTACACTCGACCAAATGAACCCAGCTTTTTAACGAAGCCGATTAGTTTATATGGTGAGTGGTCTTTCAGGTCAGATGGTGAGACTACGGATCTACCGAACTCAAAGAACCTGATTCAGTCCCCAGCGGGGCAGACACAAAGTATATGCTATGCAGTTTCATCAATTTCCAGACAGAGGCGACACACACTGTCTTGCGACAGTCCAAGTCTCTGCATGTGATAATTCAAATGACAGTGACCTTTAAGAAGGCCTGTTAGACATCGTAGTTCATCCCTACTGTAGTCCAACAACTGTTTGGAATCAAGCTTCGAAGGGTGAATAAACGCCTTGGAGTGAGCCAATCCTGGAAGATTCTGCCAGAAATCCATAACTCTTCTTGCCATCCAGGTGTTCAGTGTTTGTTTGGCAAAGCCCAAAGCGATTCCAATGACAGGTTTTGGTCCAATGAAGCCGTTTGCAGCACCCTCCTTTGCAAGAGAGTCAGCAGCTTCATTGCCTTCCAGGCCAGTATGGGAAGCCAGACCAGAGACAATCTGTTTAGTCTTCCTACCGAGGAGAGTCTTTTTTGGCAGTTTGCTACCAATTTAGACGTTGCTCGGTAAGAGCCAAGAGCTTCCAACGCCATTTGACTGTCCGAGAATATTTTTATTGACTTGTGAGTGAGGTTGGATTTATACGACATGACAAAATAAATGACCTCTTTCTATATAGTAAACTAATTTTACAGAAGTCTCACAGGAATTTATAACCTTCGCATATAGAGGTGATAGAGTGTCCATATTATTTTAGATCTAATTCGATGCCAAAGTTCAAATCCATAACAATAAATCAGTTCACTAAAACTTTGGCAAGTATTGACCTAAAACCTGCTCAAGGAAATTTTACGAAATGACACAGACGCCATAGACAAAAAAAAATCGAATTAATATGTTTTTTCGAACTTCCGACGATCTCTGTGCAATGAAAAATGTTGGTGTGTTAAGCACCTTAGGCAGCAAATCCCCCCTCGTGGAATCCTCGCTTGAAGTGAAAGTGGAAGACGTGTCTATTCCCGAGTCCCTATGAGAATCCTGAGATCCTTGCCTGCTTCCGTCATGCTGATCGAATCTGACGGTCTTCTTTCTTCTCTCGGTGAATCCTCTGTTATCTGCCGTTACGTCTTGGAGTGGTCTATGTTGAGGAGCTACTATATAATGGCTCAATGGGGGCCAGTCGCCGTTATTTCCTAAACATTTTCAATGGGGGCGTGTGACCGATTTTCATATTCACATGGTTTCGAGAGGTTGAGCTATATTTTGATTGGGAGGATTTGAGGTTTCACAGTATTCAAAGTCAATTTACCAGATATTTATGATCAAGAAATGATGTTTATATAAACTTTCTGTCAGGTAAATCTGAACTATGTGCACTTCGTTGGTAACTTCGTTATTATAGGAGATGACGAAGAGATTAATTTAGAAATTTTTACTATTATTCCATAAACAAAATTATTGAGTACTGAAGAAAAGAGAATTGGAACTTTCCATGTTTTTTACCACTTTTATTTGTAATCAACGTTACTGCAGTTTCATCCTATAAGGACATTTTCAAACTTGTACATTGTACTAACAATGGTTTATTACATTAGCCCTTATATTCCACCCTTAAAGGTAATAATAGAGGTACTTGGTTTGAATTTTGTAACGCATGTTCGATCTTTTCAAACTAAAAGTATCTCGAACGAATGAAAACAAAAAAAAATAAAAACAACAAAAACAAATCACTTCACCTGTCGATACTTAAGTACACGTGTATAAAGGGAATGCACGGCTTCAGTCGTAGAGTTTGGGGGTAGTTTTATTTAAAAAAAGAAGAGGGCGCCACTGGCTCTCAAGCAGCCCAAGCCAGAGGACATCCAGATCTCGAGGAACCAACAGGTAATTTTCGTGAAATGATTACCATTGAAATAATTGAGGGGTACATTGATTATATATGTATATATTGAAACTTAGCTTCTGAGTATATCAAATAATTTAATGATTAGAACGAAATGATACATAATTATGGTTCTCAACAACAACTTCCTTCCAGTAACATGTAAATGCGCGTGGTACCCAACAAAATAATCATATATATATATATATGAA